TAGAAAAATACTGGCTTTATTTTCCAAACAGTAATAAGTAAGGTTTCATGTGCAGCCACCCTGTTATTCACTCTTGGACTTTCCAGTGACATCACCTCCACAGAAAACAAGTTACAGTTTGTTTTATAACAACTACCCCAGTTCCAAGAGTAAACTGGCTCAGTGCTTCTGCACAGGGTCACTGTCGACCGTGGTCACAGGACACGTCCACGGAGGGGTCAGGACTGGGAGAGACTGCTCATCAGGGGGAGCGGGGGCCTCACATGTGGGATTCAACGGGCCACCCCCGTGGTCCCCCAACCCCAACCCCGTCGGGACACAGGCTTAAGGCCTTAACCTCAAAAACGTCTAGTGTCACACTGTTTGCCTCTGCATCTGGGATGTCGCAAAGCATTTTTAAAACCTTCTTCCAAAAAAGAATCGCCTGTACGAAGCACAGCCAAGAGCAGGGTGTGCTAGTCCAGTGCTCCCCCCGCCAAATGCACGTACGGACCGAAGGGCAGAGGGTGCCCCCACTCACACGTACCAACAAAACCTCGAGGAGAAGCCGTCAAGGACAGCTGAAGCCACACGCACACACACCAGCAAAGCCTTGTGCCCACTACGACTCTCTGCAGTGTTTCCCCCTCAAAGGAGCCTGGTGCCTGACTCCCCACCTCTGATCTCTCTACTTTTTTCCACTCAGATCACTATTTCACACAATCCTTTAAAAACCAAAGTGTATTAGGTATCAGTCAGATCAGAGGAATTGATCGCAGCTGTATCACGTCAAGAAACCATTTAAACTCCCCATGTTCACAGCTCGCTCCGGCCAGGGGCTGGGGTGGGAGACCCCAGCACCGCACACTGTGTGTTCCCCTAGTACACGGTGATTCGGATACACTCCCGTCAGCATCCCAACGGCACAGCAGAGGCACTGAGGCCCGGCGGGCGCAGTGACCCCGCAGGGATGTGGGAGGCTGGCTCCAGGCGTAGGGTGGGGCCCGCAGCGGGGCGTCGGGACCAGGGGCCTCTGATGCTGGGTCCAGTCCAGCTTCCCTGACTCAGGGCGGTGGCTCTGGGACCGCCGTGAGGACCAAGAGCCGCCAGCAGAGGACACCCACGAGCAGAGGTCCCATCCCCGCGGCAGGCGTGGGAGGGAGCTCATCCCCATCGAGGTAAAGCGCATGTAGTAACTGCGGCTTTTCATCCAGAACACAGTCAGAAATCAGAATAAACTGTGTGCTCATCAGAAAGTGAACAGGAAGTCTGTGGATGTTGCAAAACGAATCCTATACTGTTCAGAATATTTTCCTAAATAAAACACTTTTTAAGGAGGCAAAAAAAAAAATTTAAAAACCCAACACAGTGTGTTTGGAAGCTGCATTTGTCTGAGGCCACGCAATTAAAACCTCCTCCCAGATCAGGCCCACGCTGAAACCCACACAAGTCGCCCCTGGGAACAGAGCAATGGTGATGGTTACCCTCTTCAAATCTCTAACAGGAACAGTGTTTTTTAAGCTTACACTTTTCTATATCTGCAAGTAAAATGCTTCCAAGTGTATTAGTACATTTCTAAATTTGCTTGTAAAATAACTAAACTGGATATAATAAACTGCTCTAATCCTAATGTCAATAAACCATTTAAAATAATTTGGTGACCATCACAGTAAACACAGCACACAGAGCCACAGGAAGTACTAAGTGAAAACACATCTCTCTCAGTTGACCTGAAAACAAACCACGAGACACTTTCGTTTCTCCCTTCACCTCTTCGCCGCGTTATCCATCCTGAGAAGCACCGGGGGTCGGGTCAAGGAGGCGCCAGGATCAGGCAGCCCTGCGGCGGGTGGGCGTTGCCCCACATGTCACACCAGGGTCCAGATGCCGTGGTTCAAGGGACGGCTGTGCATGGAGCAAGTGCCTGGGCAAGAGCAATGCCAGCGCCGTCCATCAGGTCACCAGCCGAGGGGCTTCTGTCGTGCTGGCCCGCACAGCAGGAGCAGCGGGAGCCCTGCGCCTCGCTGGAGCCGAGTCCTGAGCCTCTCCCCCTGCCTCAGTCCCCTCCTGAGAAACGTAGGTGACAAGAGTCCCCAAAACACAGACTAGTTAAACAGACTAAAGGAGTCGGAATCTTTAAAGCAGTTAAAGCTCACGGCATTTAGTCACTGCTCAGTTGGTTACTTACTATTATTAGGGGCAGGATCTTCCAAAAAGTCCCTTCATCCACAGCGCAGGCTGGTGCTGCACACTGGGGGCACAATGCCTAGTGTCACTCTCCCTCAACAGGGAGCCAGGATGTACACAGTGGTTCTCAGTCCTGACACCAGAAACACGTGGGGAGCGTCTTTAACCAGCTACCCACCACCCAGCCCAGGCAAGTCGAGAGAAGCCAGTGCCCGCCCGCCTCCCGCAAGGGCCACGTGCCTGAACGACCCCCAGGAGCGGCGTCTGCCTGGCATGGACGGACTCTCCCATCACGGTGAGCACGCGCGTGGTTTACAAGCCCTGCTCTCGGCCACGCAGCAGCTACACGTGGTGTCTAAGCATAAATTTCTCCTACTGAGATTTGGTCCCAGCTCCAAGGGTCGGTATTGATGATCAATTTGCGCCTTGTGGATTTCTGCCTAAATTTAACCATCAATGGTCAACCTTCTCCGAGCCAGATGGAATGTAACTTCCTAAAGCTCTCAGCTGTAACGATTTTCATAGCCAGGAGTCGGTGGTTTCCTGAAACAAAAGCTATTCTCCCTCAGACGCTCAGGGAAGGCTGGCACCACATCTGAACCCAACCCAGGCCCGGTGACGGGGTGGGGGGCTCCTGCTCCCAGCACCCTGGGCCCTGGTGGGCTGGCCATGTCCACACGTCCCTGCGGACTGGGAACCGGCGCTGGTCCCCGCTCAGGCAGGTGGGAGCACCAGCCGCTTCCCTCTCTGCAGTTACCAAGGGGCAGCTGAGGTCTAAGGACCCCCACCCTTGGGGCCGCAAACACCGGCCCTCCAACTCCCACATCACACAGCATGAGGGAGGCCCACCTTCGGAGAAGCCAGGCCTGAACGCTGTGGGCGGGAGCCCCGAGCTCATGTGCCTAGGGGGACCCAGAGAACAGGCAAAGCGGGTGGAGAGGAGGCCAGCTGCAGGGGTGGGCTTGCTCCTGCCCGGTGTCCACGTGGCAGCTTCTCGTCTGCGCAGGTGGCCGGGCCAGACAACGGGGAGGCAATGCTGCCCAGATCACGCCCCGCACCCCGATGAGGGGGCACGACGGCCTTCCAGGCAGTGAGTCTGAAAGCACAAAGCACTCTCACCTGGAGCTTCGGAAGACTCAAAGCTGACTTAACTGAAGCAAGCCTGAGCACACCAACCAGAGCGCCGCTGTGCGTGTCCCCCTTGTCAGAAGCCAACCAAGGTACAAGCCTGGTGACTCGTGGGCTCGGAGCC